CAAGGCCCGGCCTCCTTCTGCGGTGTCGCCCAGGGCATACTCCCAGGGTGCAGCAGCACGAGGCGGTTCCCCGTCTCCCCCCAGCGCAGCTTCACCACCTCCAGCTTCACCACCTGAACGCTTCGCAAGGTGGCGAAACAGCCCAAAGTGTTGAAATGTGGAGGTTGGGGATTTGCGTTGAAGAAGCTCACAAGCCATTTGAAGGTTGGACGATTCAGGCCACGGTTCGGTGCATTTCGCTGCCAAGTAATTTTGGGCTGGGCTTCGGATGTTCTCATGGTGTATTCAAATCAAAGGCTCATGTCGTGCTACCGTTCCTGCCAATGTTGACAAAGATGAACAAAATTTGATCTCACCTCTGTCCCATCGCTCTTTGATCACGGCACTGAAAATCCCTATGCTCCGTCCTTCAAGCCACAAGGTCAAAGGCCATCGATGCTCTGGAGCGCCATTGGAGCCCCTTGGAGCCCCTTGGAGCCCCTTGGATGTGAGATCTGGGCTCCCTGGCCCAGATCCGCTTCTCCAAGCTGGCGGAGACCACCCGGAAGCAGAGGAAGGGCGCCAGCAGCAGCTCATGCTGCGAGGCGTAGGGTGTCCAGTTGCCTCCGACAAGCGGCTTGCTGTCAAGCAGGGCATGGCGCAAAACAGTGACACCTGAGCCAATCAAAATATCCAGTTGCGCTTGACTTTAGAGGCTAGAGGCTGTTAGAGCTCAGCAAAAGTCGGGAATACGGTTTTTCGCTAAGGCGCCCACCCCTGCAGCCAAGCTGCCGAGTATTGCTCCCCGGCTGAAGGTGTTGATCACGAACACAACTGGCACCCCGTCGGCAAAGAAGCCCCGGTCGTAATCTTCGCAAGTGTAGCCTTGGAAAAGGAGCGCTGACATGTGTAAGCTCTCAGCTGATGTGCCAACCTTGCTAGCACAGCTTTTGCGGAAAGGATTGCAGAGTGGCATACTGCTGCAAGCCAAGCAGCATTCTGCCAGCTGGCGGTCGGTGGTGACACTGGCAAAGGCATGCCAGGTCACAATGCGACCCACGGGGTATTGGTCTTTCAGGTGGTACTCGGGCAAACGCATGCCCCTATAGAGGGTGCGCTTGGCCGCGTAAGCCTTCTCGACCTTGGCGATGTACTTCAGCAGCAACTTCACCAACAGCCCATACCTGTGCAGCGCACGAGCGCTAGGCACAGTTCTACTTCCTGTCCACAACTAACAAGATTGCTACTGGACATTCCTCCCTGATCTCCCCATTTGTCTTGGAGTCAAACTTCAGAGCAAGCCAACCGAAGCCAGGGCCGGCCAGCTGCAATCGAGGCTCTCCGAGGCGAGGGCCGTCCAACTCTGGGCCCGCATCAGCCTGCGACCGGGAAGCCGGCATGGAGCCCACGGCAAACACAGGGAAGAGCGAAAAGGGGGTTATCTGCCATGGAATTCAACTCAAATATCATGAAACCTGGATGCCCGTCTTGCTAACTGACAACAAGACAGAACACCAGTTTTGACCCTTGCGCCAGCTTACACTCAATTCCCCAACGTTGGCATGGGCGATTTCAACATGAAGATTTTGCAGGACCATCACGAGAGGTCCAACAGTAACAAGCCACCGTTGACAACGAGAAAGGAAATGAGAGAGCACGGATCCAAATGCCCCTAAGTATGCTGCCAGTTGAATAAATGTCATTACAAACTTAAGGCACACACAAAGCCAATGGATTTCTTCCGCCGAGGAGGAGAAGCAAATACTTCGGCTCCTGGCTTCGGCTATTTACCTAAGAGCCGCCTGTTGATCTGCTTGGCCAACGTGGGGCTGGATACGTAGGCGTAAGCCACCTTCGCTTCGAGCGCCGTGACATCTTTGGCCTCACTTTGCCACGGATGTACATGGAGCACAACAGCAACACGTCTTAATCCTGGGCTTGGGATTGGTTCCTCGGTGGTTCGGCTTACAAGCTTTACTATCTGCCCGTCCTTGGGCAACACCTTCTCAAAGTTAGGCGGGGCATTTGCGGCGAACTCCAGATTTGCCGGGACCTCCTCAGGCAGCGGCTCCAGCTGCTGCAAGAAATCCTCGAGTCCCATGGGCAATGTTTGTTCCCTGCAAATCAACCAAGACACCTGGACCCCACCAACCGTGAAACGCCAGGAGAACATGTCAAGCCTCCCTGTCAGGAGCAGCATGCCCTTCCAATCCCTTCCACCCACAGAACCTGTGCAAACGGATAAGCATGCGTCCGGGCAGGATGTCACTGCTCAAGGATAGACATGCCACACTGGCAGCTGTCCTCTGAACCCTCAGTAACGGGTGCTATGCGCCATCTTGAGGGAGAACGCGGCGCTCCCTATTGCATCAGCAGCATCAGCATTCAAAGTGTTTGACTGCTTCACTGCCCAACTGGAAATACAATAACAACGACGACCGCCATAATAACAAGAAAACAAGAAAAGAACAAGAACGAGACCAAGATTCTCTGCATGTTTTGGCTGCCTTTGCTTTGATGACTCGGCAGCCGGCTCTGCAAATTGGAAAGTATCCACAGTAAACGCAACAGCACTCTCAAACAAAAATAACGCTTCCAGGCTGGATGCTGCAAAAGCGCAGTCTTCCCTTCCAAGGCGTCGGTCTCCAAGACGCATTCGGGCAAACCATGCCGCGCGCACGGGTGGGCGCTGAAGGAAGCCAGCGGCATGGCCACGATGCAGTTCGCCGTATAACAAGTTGCATCATGGAGGCCTGCTGCTTTGTTACATTCTGTACAAAAGAGACGAAAATGGAGATTCCAAAGCTATGCTTCACAACGCTTCTATAAGAGGCAACAATTTGCCAATAAACCAATGATTGGGAATCCTGCTTTTTTAGCCTCAAGCCACAGCCACGGACGTGTAAAGTGACAGGAGGCTTCATGTATTGGAAACATTTGTGACAAAGCCGAAGCACCCCAACGTCAGGGCTGGAAAACACACAAAGTCAAGGATCATCAACATCTTATCAACCATCCGTGCTCACGCTCTCATTTTCTCACTCGACCTCCCAAGGCGGCGGAAGCTCCTCCCCAGGCTCCGCTCCCTCCATCACAGGCTTCGTCAACGTCTCCGTGATATCCACGCATTCAAGCCTGGGGAAGCATGTCAGGGAAGCTGGGTGTTGGCTTTGCAACTGAAGAACCAACATAAAGGCCCTCCGCTCTGAAGTTCCTTCAAAGCTCACAAGGGCTTTGCATCATCCAATCCCTACAAGCCTGCAAAAGCAATTGTGTACCGGGCAGTAATCTCAACACCTTGCAGACTGTGTTGACTGCCTGTCGTGGAACCTTTGCTGCGGGCTGAGAGCGCAACAGTACAGAATTTATGGATCTTGCGGCGCCTCAGGCCTTTGGGCCTCTCAGGCCCTTTTTGTGATTTGTCTGGAGGCAAGGGGCTGGTCAGCTCTTCATCCAAGAAGGATAGCAAGCACCGGTGTTCCCGCCCAACGGCTGGCCCAGTCATGGGATTAATACATCGGCAAACCAGCATGAGGTATAGATATTTGGGCAGCCTGCCTGTCCTGGTTCGCTGAAGGCTGCAAAATGAGACTACGACCAATCCATGGTCCATAAAATACATCCTCTTTTTGCATGGCCGATCAGCAAAATTCCGGAGTCGGCCGCGCTCACATGAATGCCCCACACAGCTGACGCAAAGCCACCTAGGCCTCCTGCCTCATGCCCACACGGGCACGGTCCAACTCGCCTTTCTCCGAGAACCTGCGGCTGCCCCTCAGGAGAGAAGGGGAGTGGAAAGAGAATTAAAAATGGAAAGTGGACAGGATAGGAGGCCAAGACCGATAAGGTCCTGATTAATCGGGGCAACAACTTGCTAGGTGGTGGAGAGATTCCTCGGGGCGAACTCTTCCATGCGCGGGACGATCGCCACCGCCGGCACCTGAGCGCGTTGCTGGAAATCCGAGAACTCCTGGTCCTGGGAGTGTCTATGTTCCATGACAAAGAGAAGGTGTGTGAATTGGGTGAGCTTCCTTCTTGAACTTGGTAAAATAGGTGGGAGGTGTGTGCAGGCTACCATTGCCATGAATCTCTCTTATGGCTCTATGGGAAAACGAGGCTCCCTCGTTGTTGGAGGTGCTGTATCGGATCTTGGCAGAGGCCATTTCGTCCAGGTACTCAAGTCAAGACGGGAGAAGTTGCGTGGACGGGTGGTTTTCACTTTTTGGGTGGGCCGCTCCTGCTTGACGTGCGTTTGTCCCGCATGTTCCAGCCCAGCTGGCTTTGGGCCCATGTTCCGGCACCAGCCCTCAGCGAACTGAACGGGGCCCCAGGCCCTGGGCAAAACAAGCAAAAGTATCCTTTCAAGTCTGAATCTGGGATGCAAGGCAACTCCACCTCTGTAATTTCATTTTGTGCGTTGGGGGATTGCAATCAATCACGAACAAGGCACCCAATCAAACACACAGGTTATGCTGCTCCCCAGCAAGCTTGGCCTTCGGGTCCAAATCCAGCAAACTGCCTTGACCCACCAAGCGCAAAGACCTGCACTAGCAACTTGTGGAGTCTTACACAATGACTATTTTTGTCACACAGCGACCTGTGAGTTCAGATGGAATGCGAATGACACCCAGCCTGGGTCCACCACTATCCACCACCATGAATACTCTCTGTGACTTGCTGCGCAGAATCCTCTTGGGATTCCTTTGAGCAACACAAACCATTTTCTCGCATTCATTCTGCCGAACACCGGGAACAGTGCATAGGAACCAGGTTGCAAGCAAGCCGTGTGATTCTCTATTTCTCTCTCTCTCTCTCTCTATCTCTGGCTCCCGCTCATCCTCGCTTCAAGCGCCCGACCTTCAGCTCATCCCCAGTGGCGCCCTGGATGCCATGACATGCAGAAAAATGCCTATTGTGATGGGTTCCCGATACATCATGCCTCTCTCCCGAAATGTGGCATATCGAGATACAATGTCCCTGGAGCCAACTTGGAACTTGTCTGCTTTGCAAAGGGAAACCTTGCTGGACTGAAGGGAGACGTTGTAGATTGCCCGATTGCCCGCATTGAAAGCGACAAGATCGATAGTTCAACTGCAACATGCAGACCCCTCTTGCTGGAGGCCGTCTCCAGGCCGTCTCCCGGCCTTGTCCTCGCGGAGGAAGCGCCCTGCTTGGATGGCCGCCTGGTACCGACGACAGATCGCGGGTTGCTCACAAATCTCAAACGGTAAAACGGGACCCATCACAGCGGCGCAGTCAAAAAAAGGCCAGCCACGGGCACCGAGTTGTTGTGCATCTGGCTTCACGCAACCATGAAATGCTTGTTAGACCCGGTCACAATGGTGGCAAGCAATCCGTGAACCCTTGCTCTACTTATCCTGCGCCAGCTCTGTCTCAGCCTGCACCCACAAAAGGGCACACCGCAAGCAGCTTGACAAAAGCTAAGCCAGCTTGCTCACCCAGGCCAAAACCAGAAACCCAAAGCAAAAACTGTGCGTGCACTCAAAATCAAAGGCTTGTCCAATCCCAACCACCAGAGTTCTCAACAGTGAAGGATTCCAGGACAACAGCATGATGTACCCTGTCTTTTGTGAGAATCCTGCAAGTCGGGGAAGCAGTTCGGTCAATGGGGACACTGGCAGGCCTTTATGCACAATATATCTTGAAAGGGTGTGAAAATCGGCCGCTGGGTACTTATTCACGCCTGCGCATTCATGCTCCAGCATTGATTCAAGACCCCAGCATTGATTCAAGAAGTCACCGCAGCACAGATCATGGACAAACACCGTCATGCACCACCACCCTCAGCAAACCACGTCCTGGTCTCGCATCTTTTTGCCAGGCACACGTCTCTCCTAACCAATGCTTCTATCACTGGTCCATCCGTGGTCAAAGTCATCTCATCAGGAATATGCTTATTCAACTTCACACGCATCTTCAGCAGGTGTATCGATCGAAGCCCATTTGGGTGGATGGTTGCCTTGCTCAGAATCACATGCGGCCCATGCATTCCGGGGGCGGGGGGTGGGGGGTTCTGTTCGTTCGACCACCACAAACAAGGGGTCACAAAAAGGCGGCCAAGGCATTGGACAAAAGGCCCCCCGTTCAGAGCCCCATGAAAACGAGACTGCTACCAAAAGAAAACCGACAATGATTCCGCATACCCGGCATTTTGGACACATCGGTGGACCTTTCGCGACCAAGTCCATGCCTTGACAGCGATGTAGATCCGTTGATGGCCAGCTGCTAGTACCACCGTGGAAGGCCTGCGCTGTTGGTTTGAGCCCGGCAAACACATATAGAACTCTCACAAGCAAGGAGTAATGCCATAGGTTTGGCCTGTGAATGCTGCTGTTACGCTCACGTTTTTTTTCTGCTGGGGAAATCTTGGGCGGTGCGCCCCCACACTATCATGGTGTGCTGGCGGAGTCAAAGAAACGCACTGGGCCCCTGGCTTCAGGCGGTTCTTGATCCCCGCAGCCAGTTGGTTCACTTTGGCACCAGAGCCTCTGGCCAAGTATGTGGGGAGAAAAAGTGGATGCAATTGCAGATCTACAGGTGAGATCTGGCACATTGATGCTGCTCACGTACTGTTCCCTGTTTTGTTATTTTTGCATGCGCGACTGCGCGGCACCTAAAATGCTTCTTCACACTTGCCTGGTTCTGTCGCCATCGGTCGAAACAAACAAAGCCAAAATATGACACGCGCGGACACCCGCTACACCCGCGCGAAGCACTAGACTACCTTGGGGCTGGGTCTTCCCATTCTTTCCAGGCTTCTCTTCAGAAACCATCAGCTTGAATTGGTTGGGTGATGTTTTGGAAAAAAGGGTCACAGCCGAATCTATGGCAACATGAGCGCCATGCCTGTGGATATCAGCGGCTCTCCTGTGTAGCTGCCGAGCCTGCAAACGGCATAGGGAGACATGAGCTCCAAAATGGCCTCTTTTATTCGCAAGAATTCGGTTTTGAGCCAGCTCAAGGTGCTTGTGGAAGGGCTGCATTCTTGACACAAAAAAAACTCCGCTTTGCGCTTCGGGTTCCTTAGCCCATGCAGTCTTTACATGGAGTGAAAATCCTGAATGTGCAACCTCTGATGTGGCCACAGGTCTTCCAGGCATATTTCTCACCACTACCGGTCACTGCGACCTCATTCAGTCTCTCAGTTGTGGGTATCCGGGCAAAAGTAGCAGATGCCGAAGATGGGTTTCCTCCTTTGCTTTGTCGATCAGTCTGAGCGCCGATCAAACGAGACTCCTTCTTAGCCTTCATGTTGGCAAATAGCCTTTGATGATGTACTCAACCAGCTCTGTCGCAATCCACAGCCTCCAATCTCTGGAACAGCATCATGTCCGTCCGGTTCAGCAGCTTGTGTCAGTGCGATCGTGCCAATGAAGTCTTGGCTGCCAAGGCCCCTTGTACTTTGAGCGTGCAGCAAGTGGACAGGAGCTTCTGGACTTGGTAATCGTAGCAAGGCGCTCAATGTCCATGGGCATGTTATCTATCATGAGCAACACGAGAGCGCCTTCTCGAGCGTAGTTTTTTGTGCTTGTAGCCGACGATTACGTTGTCCTCGTCCTTGAAACCAAAACAGAACAAGCTGTCCTGGGTCTTCTCCGTGTGGTCCATTTGGGTCCGTACCAAGTGTGTTTCGGATGGTACGTCACATTAGGGAAGTTGAAATTTCCATTGCCGCTGGTGCGTAGTCACGAAGATGTTCATGTTCCTCTCGCCTTCGATGTTGTGGTCCAGCCGGGGCTGCTTTGTCTCAGGCTGCAGCTCCACTTGCCGGAGCTCTGGTGCGTTTCGCTTCTTCTTCCTGGTAGTGGTTGAGGAGAGTCACAGCAACTCTCGTGGAATCGATGGTTCTGGTAATTGAGGATGTAGGCTCAGGCTCTGTGGCAGGGTTTCTGATCTCAACTGTCAGCTGTCGTCGTACAAGAGGGTACTCATCTCCTCGTGGCTGGAGGTGATGAGGTAGCCGACATCCATCCTGCTCATCAGAGACTCGAAGTAGTACTGCTGGTCCTTGCCATCCGTGAGCATCCGTTCCTTCACGGTGAAATTCCACGTCACACCAGGTTTGCAGGAACTGAGGTCAGGGTCAAGAAGTGGTTCTGATCCATTGATGGAAGTCAAAAAAGTCTCCGCAGAATATATCATAAAGTGGCTTCCTTGGTGCTTGTCCAGCGATCTCATCGTGTTCTTCTCGTTGTGCTCCAGCTCCACTCTGCTGGTGTCTGCGATGCGTGGATGGGGTCGCTCATCTGGGTTGATGATGTCAAACTCAGTGTTGCCAGTCCTGGCAGTTCGCGCGGCGCCGCCGTAGTAGTTCTAGATTCCGCAAGCTGGACACACAGCATCCCCTGGAGCAAAATGTGTTTTTCTGGGTTTCACGCGATGGTGGATGGCCTTTGATCTGGTCCGCTCCGTCCCCCAGTAGTTTAGGTTCATCGCCATAAAGAAGGACGAGCCAGTCTTCATGTCGCTTCCGGGTGCAATGCTTGACGTCGCCCTTGATCACGATTCGCAGAGGAGCCGATCAGAACATGTAGACCACTTTAGGTTGACCATGTCCACTGCCGGAATCTGGTAGTCCTCTTGCTAAACCTCGTCGATGGTATGAGGACGCTGAGCTGCTTTCTTGAACCGAAGATCCGGATGGTGTAGGCAATGACGACGCCACTCCCTTTGGAGCTTCCAAGTCTGCAACGGTCACACTTGCAGTCCTTGGCCATCGACTTCACGTGTTGGAGTCGAGGAGAAAGGTATGCATGTTGGTCTTGAGACAGGAACTTCTTGATGTCGTCAATCAATCTCGTGCAGTTGACCAGGATACACAGCTGCTTGGGACGCCACTCAAGCTTTCCTGGAGCTGTCCGTGACTCTGTCCTCCGTGCCGCGTTCATCTGCGCAGATAAGATGTGCACTGGTCAGTTTGAAGAAGAGGGCGGCAGTCCGGGATGCCCTGCAGTGTTGCAACAATGCTGTCTTTCCACATGAATGATGACCAGGGCTGTTCCCAGGTGAAGGCCTTGCCACGTAAATGTTGTCGCCAGGCCAGCTTTGCAAAAAAAAACAGAACGGGCATCTCGAGCTTCTTTAAGCGCGCTGTCTCTGCCTTGTTTCTCCGATTGCCAGATATCGTCCAAGGTTGACAGCTGGATCCTGCGCCTCCACATCATCTTGTCGTGTTCCTGAACCTATTCCGGTGAAGTCAAATGGATAGGCCACGAAGTTGGTGAAAGATATATGTTGCTATAGATACTGCAAGCGCTCTTGTTTGACCGCAAGGTGGTGTCACGTCACCAGGCCTGTACATATGGTTGTGAATTCTTGGCAGCAAAAGCCAAAACAAGAAACAACACAAACACAAATTTCATTCCACTCATGATATTATTCATATGAACGACTCGCAAAAGTTTTCCGGCGAATTCTATTCCAGGATCTGTGCTATATGATCAACGAGCGAAACCAAAGAGACACTGTGAGACCTAGGATGGTGACAAAATTCCGGGGGACCAGCAGGCCAATGTCCGGAGCGAAAGTCATCATTCAGAAAAATGAAAATCCATTGGATCCCAAAGCAATTCCAAAGTGAAATGTATATCAGATATGGAAAGAATCACAACTGCGCTGAGGAAGATGGTCATAAGTGACCTAATAGTAGCCTTGGTCTCGAACATCCCAGCGGTTCTTCGCGTATCGATCTCGACGATCAATCTGAGCTTGCTTGGGAAATATTCGGCGGCCAGCTGATGCAGCTAATGTTGACCAGCAGTGGATGGTGCCAGTGTGTCATTCTCTCCAAGGATCTTGTTGGTCATCAGATTGTACCTTTCGGCGCATGTGACCCTATGGTCGTGATGCTCGATATCTTGTGAATCATCTTGCGGAATGGTCTCACAGGATTTTCTTCTTCGCCTGTGTCATCTCCTTGGTCTTGGACCAATGGGATACGTGAGTGAAAATGCAGTCCAGAATCGATCTGTCTCAATCCCTCTCTTGGTCTTGTAGTTCAGGGCTCCTTCGATCAAGGATCTGAGAGATGCAGTGGTTTCTGAGCTGATTGTGGGCAGGTTCACGGCTCTTCTGAAATCTTCAGTCGCTGCGGAAAGAATCGAATACATGGGATTCATGACATGCTTATGGCACTGGTTCGCTGCGGAATTTGCGTCGCCAGTGATAATGTCCGAAGCTTGTCCTCCAATCACATCCGCAGTCGCAGTGTAGCAAGCTCCCGCAAGTCTAAAGAGCATTGGCAATGGCATCTTTATTTAGTCTAGAGTTGAATCAGAAGAGCCGGAGATGCCCGTCACCGAAGAGCTCTTTCCTGACCGTTGTAGCCCTTGGCAAACTTGGTCAGAGCGCTTGCAGGAGGTCTCGCAGAGTCTCAGTGCCAGTAAGGCCATGTGCTGCGCCGGGGTCTATGGTCAGACCTCGTCGGCGTTGACCTCTCACTGAGTGGAAGATCTCCGTCATCTCCCGCTCGTGATTGATGCTATTGACATGACACTGAACTTGCGTGCGGAAGGAGAGGGACTTGCTGGTAGCAGATGAGTTGTCCACGAAGTAATAGATCATCTCATTAGGGTTGAGAAGGTCGCTGGGTCTATTTGTGACACGAAAGTACTGCCTGTTCTGTTGAAGACAGTGAGCGGGCTGGGCCTTGGTCCACCGCCAATGGCAAACGATCCTCCATGTAGTAGCGACTGTACTTGCCCTCCTTTCCTTTGGACCTGAACTTGCCCTTGCCTTTCGAGAATCTGCGTGTCATTGTCCTTAAACTGCACCTCCTGATCGTCCACTTCCTTGTCGAGGCCGTAGACATACTCCCCGGGGTTCTCATAGCGCCCGGAGTCCTCGTAGTAGGGACCATCATTCTGGTAGTACTCATCGTCCACCAGTAGTTGGCTGGATCGTCCTAGAAAACATCTCCCTTGGAGGCATGTTGGTTGTGCGTCCGCAACTCATCGAATTGCGTGAAATCTCCTCTCACCTGCAAACGCAGGTCATCAACATGCCGTTGTGGAAGCAACCGCGCTCAGATCACGCCTGGCTTTGGCGCAAGCGAAAATTCCACTCAATGTTGAACTCCGCCAAAGAGAGGTTGGTACTCAAAGAAGTCTGCTCCTCATCGAAGCAATCCCCCAATCCCTGAGCCTGTTGCATAACGCTTGCATTCCTGGTGGGACGCTGTGCTGGAGGATGATGTCCGGGTTCATCCGGTCCACTAAGGTCGTAGTTGTCGTCCGGACGAACCAACCTCTCCACAGCCTCAGCTTCTGGAAGACGAGCTTCAGCGGATAGTTTGGATCCAGGATGAGGAACTCACCGACGAGGGGAATGCCGTGCCCGCGTAGGGCTGTGCCATGGAGTGGTCCGCCTGGGCGACCACCAAGATCAGGAGAGCGATTTCCTTCACCATTTGCTGCGCCCCAAGAATGTGCACACGGGCTTGCGCCCGCAGGGTCCGAGAGCCTAGCTCCAAATTCGCAAGAATTCGGCTTTGACCAGCTTAAGGCGTCTGCGCAAGGGCTCCATTCTTGTCCTGGGAAGTGGTTGGTTGGCCAAGTTATTTGCAAGCTGGAAACGCCAATGACCACCAATCAGAAGTTACCACTCGTCTGGAAGGCAACTTGTAATTGCTGGTCAGCCCAGAACAGAAAGAAGCATGCTGAAGCCTAGGAAAAACAAGCATCTTCCATCACAAGCAAGGCAAAACAAGCACGGTGAGTGGGGCGCACGCATTCAACCGTGCTTTGGCTTCGCCACAACGCCGTTGACTTTAGGGTTCTAAATTCCAACTTCAAGTAAAGCAGGGATGGGTGAGACTCAAAATTTACAAGCTGTGGCAAGGTGTTGTTGCAGGGTAGTGCTGCAGGCCGAAACGCAGAGTTGCGCAGG